TGGTCAGTATTTAATAACTTTCATTTTTCGTTTATGCTGTAAACAAGGACAAGTTCCTAAACTAAGCGCTGAGCTCATTAATTAGCACGATAAATCCATCAGGCCATTCCTAAACTCATCGAAGAAAATAGATTTAACTCATTCCTTTACTCATCTTTTGAAACACAGATGGCTTAAAGGTCCATCGGCTTTTGGGGTCGATGGATCCGCTGGATGTAACCTCACTATAACCTCAGTGATGTTATTTCACAATTAATTTTACTAATTTATATTCAGTTTCATCGCTATCTACATTATTTGTTATTTATAATTTATTTTGTTATCTACGGTCTTTTTAAATACAAAAATTTCATTAGGGTAATATTCTCTAATATATTTTTTATTATCCGGTGTTATATCCTTCCATTAGAATCCAACAGGTGGCTCTTAAACTCAACGTAAACCGCAATCTATCAGTGCTGGATACAATAAATTGATGGATTCCATCGATGTAATTAGTGCTGAGCTTAGGAACTTACACTATTAACACAAAAATTAACTGGTAATCATAGGCGACGGCACGAAAATATTAAAAGTGGGTGAAGGATACTGTAACATGAAAACGAAATTTAATGCATGAGAGGAAGAAAGGGGTATAAGTATATTACCTATAATAAACTATAATGATTATTTCAACTTGCGCCATGAATCCCCTAAAGCAGTCCTCACCCGGAGACCCGAACGGGGGAATAGCTTACCTCCGGATAATGAGCGTTTTACCTTAAGGAGATCCATGACTATTTGTGGTGTTTGGTGAACTAAAGATATGTGAGTAGGGCGTTCAATCCTACGTCACACCCTCCAACAAGTCTGGTGGGCCCCTACCTCCAGCAAGTCTGGAGGGCCCTTCTCATTGTTGGTCAGCGAGTCCATCGGACTTAGCAGGGAGGAACTTCCAAGGAATTTCCACCGACCATCCCCACATCCGCCACCCGTGGGACGCTCCCCATACGCGGTAATGAGCCCGCGCGAGGAAACTATAATGATTATATGTATAATAAATGGAACATTTTTATGGTGTTTTTTGTTTTTTTAGTCAATGAATATGAATCATAGGGAAGTGGGGTATACTCAGGTACCTTCGTAAAATATTGAAGGGAGGCACTAAGGAATCCAGGGTTTTATGTTGGTGGGCGTCAGCCTGAAAACATTTTTTTATACATTGATGACGAGAATTAGTTTGAAAGAAACAAACTACCTATATGAAATGGAGTTTAAATGATTCTGGAAGTCCTATCAAATGTAATCACACGAACAATAATACTTTTAGAGATAATTTTTTAATATTTCTTTCATAAGACATGGTTTTATTCTACTTTTTTTTTTTTCCCAGAAATTCCCTCTTCCCCTTGTAGATCCGGCTGTAGAAAGACGAATTACCTAGCCCTTCTCTCGCGGTATCGGTATCTACATAGTGAAGATCTTTCTCAACATCTCGAAAAAACTTCATCCCTCTGTATGCCAAAAGTGGCGAGATAAGGGATTTCGGAAAAAAAAAAGTGATCTTTTAGATGAAACCCAAATTCAAAACCCTTTAAAAAAATATTAAATTCTGAGTTAATATATATATATATATATATATATACACAATTATATACAAATAAATCTTTAATTTATTCCCAGTAGACAGTTGATAATTAAATGGAGAAAAAAAAACTTTGTTTTCTTTAATCCGGAACATATGTTTAATATTCCATTTAGCTTGGATAGAAGAAAGGTTACATATATTTTTATGGTGTTAAAAATTGTGAAACAATCATTAAGAAATTTATTTATGTAATCAGTCTGTTTGATTGAATCAAAGACCCATAAAAGTAAGTTATTTTCTCATCATTTGTAACTTTTAAAATCAGTCAAGTCAAATTACATTAAATAAGTTTTTTTTCCATAGTAAATGTACGTAACCTTTACGTTTTATTGCATATTTGACTTTTAATGAAGTGTAAATTCGGAACTTTTATTTGAAGAGACTGCGTAGCCAACTTTTTATTTGTTTCAAACAAACAGTGTTTTTGTTCACTTCATTTAGGCAATAGTGCCCATATCTTGTATCTTATACGCCCAAGTTAGAACATAGTAGTACCTTTGGTGAAGAACTCGTATTTAAAAATGGACAGTGCAAATTTACTAGCATAGGAATTGACGTCGAAACAATACATTCGGTGGTTGTCTAGTCCCGACAACACTTGAATTAAGAAACAAGCTCTCTGGAAGATTTTATTGAGAATATCCAATCAATCCAAAATGATAGAAAAATGTAATGCTAAAATATGCAGCACTTTCTGAACGGATAGACAACTTCAGGTTAATGGGATGATGGAAAGTATCTTGACGCAAGGGTTTGGCACATCTAGGGTCGTCTAGGACGGCAGATTGCTCCATCATAATTTGAAGAATAGTGGAGAATGATCAGGTTACTATTTTAATACGAAAACTTTAGAATAAAAATCACCAATCATACCACAAATAATAAAGCGATAATCACTGGTTTTCAATACAACGGTTTGCCTGATATACTACGAATTGAATATCCCAATATCACAGAGCTGACAGTCGGAAATTATATAGGTTTATAAATGGGATATCCAGTTTTCAGAGAAGTTGTTGGATTCTTAGAGCGAAGACTAACATAAGGAATAAGTAAGGGAGAGATACTCTGCATTGCAAGAGATCTCATTACCGGTTCAGGATTCGTTACAGACATCAGTTTTCTGATTGGACTGATTCAAGGAACCTCATTACGACCAACTGAATCGCTGAACGATACTCTTCGGCAGAAATAGGCAGCTAGTGAGTCACCCACCAGCTGTATTTTAAACCAAAATTACGTCCACAATAAACCTAAAGCACCATTTTGCAGACTAAATTTGTGCGATAAATCATATCAAGTTACATTTGATTATTGATTTTTATACTATCGCTCACGCTGAATCAATCTAAAGGTGAGCTATTTTCGTATAACCAATATTATTTGACAATTTCAGAGCGCAAGTACAAAAATATAAATGCAAATAATGATACGATACCAATTTCCATTTGAAACCCCAACAATGTTGTGTATCATTGCTTCAAGTTCTGAATGCGGCTTACGAAATCACTCTCGATTCTATAGTGTAAAAAGTAAAAAATGTAAAATAAACAATGAAAGATGTGTTAAACAGAATAAAAATGTTCGACAATAAAACCTCTAATCGGGGAAAAGGCGTTTTTATTTCCACTAACCTATATATGAAATCTATAGTAAGGGAAAGTCTTATGTTCCTAAAATTCAACGACAAATGACATTTTGAGGCTCTGTGAGTGCAAATTACCAAGTGTCGCAAAATGTTCTGTGTTAACAGTTTAGCTAAAAAGCGAAAAGTCGTACGAAAATGAAATTATGTATTTAAGTTGCGTATATGCTTGGGAAGTTACAACAACTTCTTTTTACTAAAATAGGATGACAGGAAGTGGAACTTTATATAACTGATCATATTTATACAGTTTACTCGAAAATGGCTCTAACAATTTTGGTTAAAATTGTTATTCTAATGTACAACCAACTGGTTTTTAATATAAGGTATGTCTCATATTAATTGTTACAGCCTCAAATGGCTCTGAATTTTCAAAATCGCTTCCTCTAAAATATATTTAATATGGTTTATTTTAAAGAATTAACACTCCCCTGAGGTTTTAATAAATAGGAAATGGTTAAATATAAACTATGATGGAATTTGATAATGAACAATATCATCATCAATCGGCTCTACAACCAATCACCTCCTCAAGCAGCTTTCACCAGTTAATTCGGTCAAGTGCTGGAGCTCGGATTTCTTCGGTCCTCTATTACGGTCCCTCATTTCTCCTTTACTTAATTATAAAATTCTTTCATATTTTTTACAGATTACAATATGAAGTGGTTAATTATTTCAAATATGTAAATAAATTCCAAGGTACTTCAAGAAAAAAAAATTGAAAACTCGCCATTGAACTTCATGGATGAGGATAAAAAATACCTTAAATTAAAAACTACTAAATAATACATTGAATTAATGAATTCAACCAAAATATTTAGTGCTGTTTTCGAGAAAATTGGAAAATATATCTATAACATAAAGAGGCATTTTTGATAAGCCCATTTTGGCGAAAAAGTTGCTGCAACATCCGAGCCATTTTCGAAAAAGGAGTCAGAATTTATGGATGAAGGCATAGTAAAATTCGAAAGGCAACTGGATTCATAAAGAGAAACGGCGAGGTAGTGGGGATGTAGGTCCGTCACATATTAGAATAAGATTGGACGTATAGAAAACTAAACCCAAGAAACTGACATAAAAGAACATCCAACTGAAACAAAGATATTATCACTTCAAATTAGTGGATAGACATGGTCTAATAAAGTCAAAGTTTCTTATGTGAAAGCATATTCGGGCGTTGAGGATAGATCATTAAGACAAATCGTCTACTCCAGATTGCCTCAAGGACGGCGCCGCTAATGCATCTTCTGTGCAGTAGTGAGGATGCTTTTTGAGTGGCATGTTAGGTGTTTAGGTCATTTATAGTCCAGGCAGTGCATACTCTGCTAAATAAAGGAGATAAAGTAATCTCTGATGTTATTCTTAAGACTTCGCAATGGAGTTAGCAGGTTTGACTTGGGGTTATCGAAAAGTGTCGGTATTGCATAGATCAAAGCTATTTAATTTACTGCAGTCACGGATAATCATTATCTTCATCGTCTGCAGGATCCAACCGGTCGATTGTTTAAGTGCGATAACAATCCTAGAACTACGATCATAACACCACTTTGTAATATATTTCGTCGAATTTTTTCTCCTGAAAGAGAATACTAAAAAGAGATCAATAGGAAACTAAAAAGAGGACGATCCTGGAAAAATGGATTGATAAAATAATCAAGTTAGGGAGGAAAAAGGCAACCTGTTGGGTTCTATGAGGATATTGGCGAAGAACCGCCATGGCTGGTGTAAATGGACGGAGGCCCCTCTACACTGAAAGGCAGTAAGGAGGATGGAAAAGAAAAGCAGTGTGAATATTTAAATTTTCCTCTTATACAGAACACAGAGGATATGGCTGTGTCAGGTAAGATAAATAATGTTTGTCCATACCACAGACTAGATCTAGCAACATTAATCATTAACGAAGAGAAAGTTAATTGTTAGTAACAGAAAATGAAGAGAAGAATCACAGAGAAGCCGAAAATGTTCCCGATTTGACAGATTGGTGGTCATTTCATCACGCGTCTGAAGGAATTGCTTCATGGGGGTGATTTCTTTATCTGTGAAAATAGGATGAATATTCGTAGTTTATATTCCTTTTCTTATGAAGTCTGCAGATTGCATTGGGATTAACGATACACGTAAAAAATTACGTGGTTCTAGCGTCTGGACTATTTGTTAAAGTAGTTGATCGTAGCAAAGGCAACATAGTAAACCAAATAAATTAAAAAATACGCTGGAAAAGTATGCTACATGCAATAACCCATCTATGCTAACCTTACTAAACGAGTAAACAGAGTGCAACAAAGTGATGATTTCGCCTTATTATAAGGATAAGCAACAATTTTGCAAATCGACTTTGCTTTGGGTTTCGTAGCGAACAAAAAAATAAATAAAACTTCAATTTAAATAATGAATTCAATCAATTCATCAAGTCTATCATGGATCATAGATAATAGCAGACATCTTTGACTGATTATCTAAATATCTATTGACCATCGTACTCCACAGAGAGCCAATTATTCATCTACCACAACCTTTCAAGTGAGTGATATTGAACTATATACTGATTGTATATCAAGATGTTGAAAGGAAACAGTTAAAACCATTCAGGACTTCGGGTAGAACTCCACTTTCTCTGTATTGAAAGAGTTTTCTTTGTAAATAATAAAAACTTACCTCCCCCACTTTCATGTAGAAGAAACATGATGCCTTCTGAAGTAAAAGATATTGCAACAGCTCGATGATCATTCCTAGAGACCTTAATAAACTATTAGATCAAAAAGAGGGTTGTTTTATTACACAGAGAATTTAGAAATTTTTTTTAAATAATTATTATTTTTTTTTACATTTTACACCTGAAAAAGACATGGATCGATATCCTGCAACAACCCTAAGAGGTAATAGTTCTTACGATCGATTATAGCTAGCAATGACATAGAAGAAGGGAAAACAGTAAGATGAGGTGATTAAACTTATTATAAAAATAGTTTATTCTTTGTTATAAGAAAAAAAGAAATAAATGAAACGGTTATCAGTTTCCATCAATAATCATTTTCAAAAACCTTAACAAATGTATTCATGCGTTTAGTTCAAGAAGAAAGAGATGGAAACCACATCTCCTGCAATAAATATGTATATATTTTAAAATCTTTAATTTCATATCTAGACGTCGCCTAAGCTGTCTCAATATTGCTGATAAGATCCTAGTTCTCATAGCAACAGAAATTTATTAATATCTTTTTTTTCTTATTAATATCTGTTAAATTGTAAATAAAACGCATATATTAGATTAGAAAAGGGATATTTTATTGTTTAACATGGTTAAATTTCGTGATGGAGTGGATTTTAGAAAACATCCAAAGTGTAAAACGCCCATTCTGAATTAAACGCATAATTAGGACTAAAAACTTTTCAAAACATCACTCAAGTTTTGGGAAGGTTATGTGATAAAAACTTTAATATTTGAGGCCTATTAAATAAATGTCTAAAAACAGCACTAAAGGGAAAAAAATGGGAGTGAAAGAGATTTAGAGTCTGCTGTTAAAAAAAAAAACAAGATTATCATGGTGATGATCTTGCTATAGCGATTTAAGCGACGAATGGAGGTTCCATTTTAGCGAACTTCGTCGATAGTAAATAGCTGAATTAAGAAATCAGCGTTGATTATTTGTTACAAGCAAGGCTATTGGTGAACCATGCTCTGAGGAAACACCACAAGCTGGGTGTGAAGGAGTCTCCTTCACTCAATGAACTTGGCGGAACTGAGAAGATTTTTTTGGCGAATGAGCAGTTGGCTATCAGCTTGGTTAGTAAATTATGACATTACCTCTATAGAAAAAGGTTTAATAATATTTGAAAAATCGAAGTTTACTCATTGGTACGGTGCCAGATGTTGGTTATAGAGTAAAACTCCCAGTTTTCGGCACCCAATGCAGTTATTGAAGAATACTAAGCGTCAGGAGTGCCCATCCACCTTAAGGTCGATGGCGCATAAACATTCCCCTGCCCGTCCTAAGATATTTTATTGCTCTCCTCTTCTTAAAAACAGTGCAAACAAAAGTAGAATTTAAAAATTCGAAGAACACATACACTTATAATTTTTTTTTCGTCCTCTTCCTCGCCTTTAAGATTATACGGGGTTTTCCCGGGCCAGAGGGTGTGGGCGGGGATTTAAAAGACTTCTCGGCACCGGGACGCGATCTCGTGATTATTTTTAAATCCATTGTCTCATAGATCAGGTTGCCGGGCAACGGCGGTGCTGTGCACACTTGTTAATCCCCTACACTTATACATCTTACAGTCTGTACTATGCTTCCACTTGTCTTTTGATTTAAAACTTTTCATTTCGAAAATTTATTACTCTATCTAAATGTGCCCCCCTCAAAAATTTTGATGGTGCAACTTGCGCTGGGCAATTCTGTTAAGCGTTGGGAATGGTCTAGAGCTAGCGAAAGACTCTCATTTTGAAGCGAGAATCACTTCTGTGCCTGCATATTCTAGAGAGACCTACAGTGGAAGGCTGGGTGACCAAGTTAAGGCAGTTCAATAAGTCGGATTTATTAATTAATTATAAAATACTGTATTGTAGCGTGTCTGTTGTTTTATTTTAACGTGTTATGACACTTTAAGATCAAACAGCTGGTACGAACAAAAAGGACATGTATATGTCGTCGGCACCATGTTAAAATAACTAATATAAGCCTGTTTAACGTTACTTTAACATGGGCGACGATATATTAGTTACTCTTTTTTTTTTTTTTTTTTTTTTGTTCTTCCCTGCGTCGGCTTTTAGGCTATACGGGATTTTCCCGGGCCGGGGGGTGAGGGCGGGGAATTTAAAATCCCTTTCGGCACCGGGACGCGAACTCGTACTTTTTATATCATCTCAAATCTCTGTTATCCGGTTGCCAGGCAACTAGCGGTGCTGTGCACACGCTTTAGCCTATTCGGCCACCCCGCCCCCTGTATTAGTTACTCCTATTATTATTATCAATAACATTTATATTTTTAATTTTCTTCATTGTTAGTTGCAGATGGTCCATCATATCTTCCAGAGGTGAATCCCTACAGAAACTTCTCGTCATCTTATTGATTATTTGTTGTATTGTCAATAGAAATTTATTTCTACTTTATGTATAATTTTTCCATGATTTTGAATTATTATGATCGAAAAGAAAAACGAACCAACGTTGTAAAATTTATTCACTAATCAACATGAATTCCCAATTTTTTTTTAAAAATTTATATATTAATTTTATTTTAAAAGAATCTCAACTCTTAATCGACAACAAAATAAGCTACGTCAATAGATGCAATTTTCCCAAGACTTTAGAAAATTTGCAATGCAAAATTTATGTTCTCTTTTTAGTTATCATGAATCTCTAATTATAAATAAAAATCGTAATAATAAATTAATTAGCATATTTTTAATGCTATATTTTCATAAATGTAAGATTTTCTGTTACTCATTATAAATTATATTATCAACAAATAATATTAATCCTAGCACAACTTCATTTTAGTATAAGCACGGAAATCAGCCAAAACGTATTTTTTTCTTTCATAAAACCTTACGCGTTAAGATTACACGTAGTATTTTGTTAAATTCGATAACAAAGAATTATGATTAATAACTGTGAATCAAAAATGCTACTGATAATAGATTTTAGACACGTAATACAATAATCTGCCACTTTTACGTAAGACAGACACGCAGAGATTGATAAAAATCTATACGTCAGCAAAAAAAAAAGAAGAGAGATTTGTGAATGATTTAGATTTTTTTTTTATCAAAACGGAGCTAAGCCAAAAACATAGAGTTGACAGAACCTCATCAAGTTCTGAAAACTAATCTTATTGTTCTTTTTTTTTACTTAAAAACTTGTCAAAAGCAAGTCCTATTTTGAATCGAAACTTATGATTAATAAGCTTATGTAAAACGTTACTTGGAACTACTGGTGGGTCCAGGATTTAACTTTAGGTGAGGGGCTTTAGTCGCATAGGATGTGATATATAAATATATATGTATGTATATATACAATGCCGACCTGGAGGGGCTCTGGATGATCTTCAGGGGCAGAATGGAGTGGAAAGGAGGCGGGGTGGCCGAATGGGCTAAAGCGTGTGCACTTGCCTGGCAACCGGATAAGAGATTTGAGAAGATTTAAAAAGTATGAGTTCGCATCCCGGTGCTGGAGGGGATTTTAAATTCTTTGAATAAAACAGATTAAGAAATAAGTTTAATTTTTTAGGAAGGGGAAGATGACGTCATTTTCCCCTTCCTAAAATATATATGTGTGTGTGTGAGTATAACTATTATTAATTTGGAATAGAAGAAATACCCTAACTTCCTATATGCAGGTGAGGATTATAGATGCCCTTAATAGATGCAATTTTTTTTTGGGAGGGTCCTCCCATTCCTCGCCGTCAAGGCTATACGGGGTTTTCCCGGGCCAGGGGGGGTGGGAGAAGATTTAAAAGACGCCTTGGCACCGGGACGCGAATTCATGACTATTTTTGTATCAATTATTATATATCAGGTTGCCGGGCAACGGTGGTGCTGTGCACAATGCGTTAGCCCATTCGGCCACCCCGCCCACTTAATAGATGGTATAAGATAATCCGGGAGAACACGATTGAAGCATGGAACCGGCGGTGGCTAACGACGCCAAAATGAAGTACATATAGGAAGTAATTTCCCAAGGTCGAGGCTTCAGGCAAGGCGAATCCTCCCAGACTACTGGATTTCCCAGTTCCTCACTGGGCATGGAGGATTTCGAACTAAACATCGAGCGACGAAGACAAAAGCCACGGGAATCTATGTCCTCACTGAAAATTAGTTTCCTCGGTGTCTGAAGCCTTCAGTCAGTGAGCAAAATTTATGGAGGTTTAAAGAATGCAGAAATGAATGGAAGACAGTGGTGGGGCCAGCTCACTTCCGTATTGATGCCTGCTGAAGAAGAGGACAAGCGCCAGGAAGGCCTACAGATTCTAAAAGCTAGGTCGAAACCGATAAACAAGAAGGAAGAAGATAGAACAGAAGAACTGTTCTATCGACTAAGAACCAGCTGTGTGCATATTCTTGCTCAGTTGACTAGTATTAGTGTGCTATTAAAATTATTCATGGTTAATAACACATTATTGTAAACATCCGTATTGCCATAGTGGCTTGGGAGGGTGGAATAAATAAATAAGACTAGTTGGCCAGTGCGAATAATTCGCAGAAAATTTTGTTTATTGAAGAAATAGCAAAACAATATGGAAATAAGCAGTTCCTATTTATTGCGTAAGGAAGTAATTAATATTTTTTCCTTGGTCGATTACAATATTCCATTAAACATAGTAGTCAAAAATATCTGTACAAATTGTTTTGCTAAAACTATTTTTAAATGCTGACTGGAAAGATAATAAAAGTAACAAAGACAAAATAATGCCCCGATCATAGGATTTTCTAATTTATTATAAAAAATAAAATGTGAGAACAACCAAATGTCTTTAAGAAATAATAAAGTTAATACATCAGCCAGGAAGACAATATTAAATATATCAAAACTAATGGACTGTATCTTTGTTAATAATTGTCCGATTTTTTATTGTTTTGTAGGTAATTTAGTAGTCTTTCTAATTATCATGGTTACAATCAAGAAAAAATGCATATTTTTGAGTTATTCGCAAATAAACTTCCTTTTCCTTCATAACTTTTTTCCAGAAATTTTGGGGGGATAGGACTATTTTTCGTATGTGGAGAAGAATATCTTCAAAATTAGTGGTTAATCATTGTATTTCATGAAGAATTAATAAAGTTATGGCGTACCGACAAAAAAACACCTTTTAGAAATAATATATAGGATGTCGTAAACCTATGACTTCCTGTCCTACAGTATCCTTTAACAATACCCCACTTATCCCTGTTGACCAAATCCGATACCTAGGACTCCACCTTGACAAACGACTCACTTGGAACCCCCATACTAGACTGAAACGACTAGAAACTGCCCGACGTTTCAGACTACTCCAGCACTTACTAGACAAACGCTCTAAACTGCCAACAATTTACAAAAGACTCATATATATTACTATAATAAGGCCTATTTGGACTTACGGGATTGAGCTTTGGGGCTCTACTAAACCATCAAATTCCTCTCGTATCCAATCCCTACAATCCAAAATCCTTAATGCTCCCTACTTTGTCACAAATAAAATCATCCATAATGATCTTAATGTACCATATGTTTCCAATTTAGCTCAATCCAGATACCTGCCCTTTCATAACAAACTTCTGAACCACCCGAACCCTCTCGTTTCCAACCTTGCTTCCTCTTCTATTCCTGAAAATCCTCCGAGGCGTCTGAAAAGAAGATGGCCTCAGGACCTTCTAATATAGAAATATAATTGGAGTGCTACCAATGGGTAGTTTCTCCTCATGTTGTACATGTCATATTACTTGTTCATATTTACTTGTTGTATTTATTATTAATTACAGTTGTAAATTTCGTTAATAAATAAATATATATATATATATATATATACATAGGATAACAATTATTACTTTGAATAGAAGAAAGATCTTATTAAAAAATCCCTACAAATCTTTTTTTTAAAAGATTTGGAAGAAAGGGTTACAACCCTCTCTCCAAAAAAGAGTATCACCACCCATCTACCTAAACATATTGCTATTTTGTATTTTTTTTTAAATTATCTAACCAAACATATATAGTCTTCCCACACTAAACAAGAGGGGCACTGGAAATTTGGTATCACCCAGAGCTTCTCAAAATCCATGTATTTGGTTAAATACTGCCCTTACACATGCAGTTATATTGACAATGTTTCAATAATATTGAAGGAGCTTCAATAAAAAAAAAATTAATTGATCAGTTTGATTGACGTGAATATAATTGATGCCCAATGTAGCCCTTACACTGCCAATTTATTGACAGAACCCGATACTGGCCCCTTTAAGGGGTCCTTAAGAGTTATCTCCTCCTTCTCTTAGTTCCAAGAGTACCAATTACAATTATTCTACAATTAATATAATAATTGAATTATCCACGTGGTCTGTAGACAAGAAAAAACCAAGGTTTTTTTAGGTAAGACCAATAATTATTGGTTAATTATAATTACCTGTGTGTATAAAAATTGTTAGTGTGTTCATTAGTGCTAATTTTCTTTTGTATTTATATTATTTATTTTGTATATGAAGAACTTATTGTAAATCCCGTATTGGAGTTGTCGAATCAGCAAAATGTCCACTGTGTCGACAAGGATTCATGACTGCTCTGCGTCTACTGACTTGTCCTCGACAACAGGACATTAGAAACAAGCCAGGACAGAAGGTGAAATTTACTCTGCTGCTAGATGTCGCATGGCCAAAAGTGCTCAAGACAATCAAGGCATAAGATAAAAAAAATCTTATTATTTTCATTTTGTTTATTTTATGAGAATAGTCTTTTTATTAATTATTTTTATCAAAATTTAATTTATACTTTTTGTCATTAAAAGAGGTACTGAGTTATTTTGTTTTATTATTTACATCCGCCTGCCGAATTCTTTTCATTTCCCCCTCCCTCCCCCCAACTGGCCATTTCTGGTAAATAGAGAGAGGGAGGAGGGGGATAGGTATGTTCTAGATAAAACTAAACCTATCCTAACCAGAATCACAAGGTTGAAATTCATACAAATAAAATAAATTTTCTAATCAAATTTATAGGATTTTAACCTTTTTTAGATTAATAATAAAACATGTTTAGGGGAAAATAATTAAGAAATTATTTTTTCAAACCAAAGCTGCGCAGTGCGCTGTTCAAGGATACTGTCTGTTTTTTCTTTGAAACAAATTGAGGCTTTTTTCAAAGAAATCGAATGGGATTAAACAAGCTTACAGAATTCAATAAAAGGGATTATTAAGTGTTGGTAAGTATTAAAATATTTACAGTCCTTTTGAAATTTTAAATTTGATAAAACGGTCAATCTTTTTTTATACGCCCTATTAAAAAATGCTATAATCAGGAATCATTAAAAAACAATTAGAATAAATTTTCAAATTTATTAATGTACAAATAAAAATATATTCAAATTTACATTAATGATGATCCTGGACTTTTTTTTTTTTTTGTTACAGATGACAAAGCATTTGTTTTCATCTTCCAGTATAGAATACAAAAAGAAATTGTGAATCGTCTGTAATGTGTTTAAAGCTTCTTATGTTTCCATTGATTCAGTTACAAAGTCCTGCTGCAGTTACATACTCCTGCTATATACTCACTGCCGATTTTTCCTTTAGTGTTTTTTAATTAGAAACAATTTTTTTTTTTGCAAAGAGTGGGGTTGCTTAGTGTTAGGACACTGGAGCTTCCAAAGGTCCCAGGTTCGAATCCCAACTCATGGCAGAAAAATTAATTATTCTGTTACATTGGCCGTGGGTCGGATACCCTCCTGGGGCACACCCAGCCATTTAAGTGGGTACCCTTAATTAAATAATTAATTATGGGAGAAAACCAGGCGGTTGAGCATGATCACGGTCAAATCACCTTCTAACGGAACCGTTGACCAAGAAACAGTGTTATAGTACTCTGAACCCAAGCACGGGTTGTAGTACAGGTTTTCTTTTTTTTTTTTTAATAACAATCTTGGCCATATGATTCTTTTCTGCTTTATTTGACATTCATCATGTTAATAAGATAATATGTTAATAAATCATCAAGGAACAAACCTGTGATTATCCAATTGGATGTTTGAATTTCACATGTTCCTTCAAATTTTTATTACTCTTATAGGATTTCCAGCAGATTGAACAGCAATATGGTCTCATGTTAGAGTGTGTTTTCATATGACTGACAAAATGACTATTTCGAATAAATAATTTTCCACAAATGTCACAAATAAAACTGAAAAAAAAATTATTTTAAAATAATTGTTATTCACTATTACAAAAATAAAACATTAATAAAAATTATAGGAGAATCCAATCATGATAAGAAAAGTAATGTAATCGGATCAAATTTTTGATAAGCAACTTTCAACAGATCTTTTCGTTTCTGATTCCAAAAAGTTGTGTGTATAAATTAACTGATATTTAAATATTGATAAAAAAAAATTACACTCACTTATAAAAACCTTTATGAGCTCTTTTATGATATTCTAATCCTTGTAAAGTTTTAAAATTTTTATAACATTCAGTACAAGAAAATTCAGTAGAATTAGATGAATCCCCACTAGGCCTCTTTGAATGCTCATTTTGTATCACATTTGGAAATGGTTTTTCGCAAGTTTGATTTTTTGTCTAAAATTAAAAAAAAATGTATAAAAATTTGGAATATTAATGGAACAAATGTCATATGCATGATATAGTTACATTTTCTGAGGTGAAAATTCCACAATTATTTGATTCATAAGAAACCTCATTTTGAAGTAAACTCCTGAAATAAAAAAAGAAGAAAGATTTTTTACTTAAAGAATAAAAAGAAAATGACATGTTAACTTAAGAATTATACACACAGAAAGGCAAATAAAGTGACAATTATGCAGCACAGATGGGGAAGGGCAAATGCTACTTTGAGTACCGAGTAGTAAACGTTTTACTCAAATTTAATCACTATTGGGGAATTCAATCACTATTTCAGTTAATCGTTTGACATCAAATGAAGAAGTTAAATTCTTTGGCACTCAAAAAAGTTCAATATTTGAGTAAAATACTTGGTGCTCAGTACTCAGAGTAGCATTTGTCCATCTATAATATAATTTACAGTCTAGATCTAAACTTGATTAAAATAAATGTTTTTTTTTTCTATTTATCTCTACTCGGCTATTTCTAAACTAGTGTCTAGGGAGCAAAATATTTTTGAGGAGGAGCAATCATCGGGTGCGGTCGGTTTATACCGTCAATGCTCCGTCTCCCCTCTCCCTCCTCAGTCATCTCTAAATTCTTGTACTTGATATCTCATGTCGTGTTCGCTACCTTAATTTTACTTTTAAAGCAAAATTATTTTTTTAATTATTTATTGTTTAACATTATTTTTACGGCCGAAAATAAAAAAAATTGTTTGTAATCAAAATATAAATAAAGTTAATCATAATGTGAACTTTATCTTCCATTTGTTTTTATTACTTCTTTATGATCGACGTTTCCAGATCTTACAGGATCATCAAAATTATTCCTCTAAACGCTAATCATTATAACGGTAATAAAAATCTGGTGCGGTCATCACACAACTTTCACTTATGGCTAAACTATGAAGAGGGATTACTTTTGGGAAAAATTGGCTATTACAAAAAGTTTTTGAAATGCATTATTAAAGCCAAAGGAACACATTTACGATTTCAGTCAAATTTATCAACACAAAAACTCAGTAAGATCATCAAAATAACATAAATTGTAAGAAAAAAGTAAAATAATATATAGACTCTAGGCATTATAAACATAAAAACTCCTTCAGTCTATTTCAACCGCATAACTCTGAACTCTCTATATATAAAGAGAGGTTTGAATGTACGCGTCTTCGGTTTATTGAAAAAGTGCTTAAGGGCATAGATAAAGCTGAACTTTTAAGAATGTTTTTGTGAATTTCGACCATATTTATTGAAAAAAACATTATTTTGACTAAAATGACACAAATCCTTTAATATATCAAATGTAGTTAGTTACAACTGTATTTTTTTTAAGTATGCAAAGGGAAAATTTTAAAAGTTCATTGTGATGTAAGGTTATGAAATGTCACAAACCGACTTTTTGCAATAAACCGAAGATATATTTAATTTACAGGTAAGTGAAGACTATATTACGTAGCAAAAATTAAATCTTTATCACTTTTTAGATTATACATTATCATTTCAAAGAGAATTAATAAGTGTTGAAATTCATACAAATGAATAATGCAATAAAAGTAAACAGTTTGTTATATAGAGGTATTTTAAAGAAAACTCAAAATCCTGCATTATTTTACGGGCAATTCAATATTTTCTCAGATAAACACATGCACTATATTTCCTTTGAAATTAAAAAAAAAAAAAAAATGTTGCCTACTGAAATTAGCTTTTAGTTTGAGAATCACTCACATATCTACAATACATGTCAACAAATCTACAACTTAATGAAAGAATAAAACCTGTTTCCAAAGTAGTTTAAAGTTTAATTATAATGTAGAATGAAATTTAATTATTCACCCGCTTGAAAGATGGCTTCTTGAAATATGCTTCTTTAACAGAGTTTTATTCTTAAATGATGTGTCCGAGCACTGAGGCATTGCACAAAAGAATTCAATGGCATCTTCCTGATTTAGGTTAAAAGAGTTTGACATAGGTAAATCTAAAATCTAAAATGAACACAAAAAATTAGTTTTGGGAGTGCAAATCAAAATAAAGCATAATTATATACCACAATTAAGCTTGGAAATAAACACTGGCAGTAAGAACAAAATATGTGAGATAATATTACAGATTCATATTTTAAAAATTTTAATCAGTAATATAGAACATAAATTATACAAATATTTTAAATGAAGTTGTTTGAAACTCTTTACCTTATCAGTTACACGACAGTCAAACTTCAAAGAATTTATAATTTCATCCGTCCAATTATCGTCCAGATTAAAATCTACATCTCTTGATTGAATTAATAAATCCAAACAGAGGCCTAGAGAAAGAATATGAAACATAAATGCATGAGAGTGTATATAATAAATATAATATATTTGTACTAATACACAAACTAATATATCAAAACATATAAATATCCAGGTGTATAATAATAAATTTGCTGCCAGAATAAAGATCATTTTTCGATTTCAACAAATTTAATTTTTTGAGATTAAAAGTATAAAATTTAAACGAAGGTTAGATGAATGTAAATTTACAGGATCTTATCATATGAAAATGTGCATAAGTTTTTTGTTGAATAAAGAAGTAAAGATGGACTACTGATATATATTTTGTTTGGGAAAACTTTGCCTTCTTTTCATTAAATTTTTTTTAAAAGTATTTCTCAGCAAAAATAAAGGAAGGATTCAATTCATATAACACCTTGGAGAATACTAAAAAGTGAAATAATTTGACAAAACATTACTTTTGTTATCAATTGTTCATAAATAAAATAATTTACTCTGCATTTATTAATTTAAAAGTACATCCTTTGTTTCTTAACCCCAAAACTCCTTTCCTCACAAAAAAAAGTTAATTCTTTAAATAATTTAAGCCAATAGATGGAACATTTATTGTTCAATTCAAATATTTTTTAATTAAAATACACTGTATTTTAAAACAATAATTAAAATATTTCTTGCCCAGATCAGCATCTAAACACATACTAACTGATTTTCAAACTTAACAATTTGTAAAGTGTTTGTTTGGAATTGACCAATTACACGCCAACAAATATTTTCTTTAATTTAGATACCTTTTTTCTTCTCCGTGTGTTCTTTACATTTAGAGGCAGTGAGGAACTTCTTACCACATTTTGGACAAGAGTATTTGTAATCACCTGAAAATATAATGCATCGTATTTAGTGATTCTTATAAGCATCGAAAGTCTTATAAGGTTCTAAAAAAGAAATTTTTCAATAATTTCATAGTTTTAAAGAGAAAAATTGCAACGTAATTAAGACCAGTAGAGTTAAATGTTAATTAAAAATACAATAAAGACCTAAACAAAAGGTCATTTAACAAAAAAATTTAACCATTTATTACCTGTATGTGTATCAACATGTACGTCTCTTGTAATCTTTTGCCGAAAATATTTATGGCAGATATGACACTTAAATGGTTTTTGTTTTAGGTGAATGAGGTAATGAGTGTCAAATGCACATTTTCTGAAAAATTGTTTTCCACAAATATCTGCAGAACAGAAAAGAAAATAAGACAATTTAAAGCAAGCATTAAAAATTAACATTAATAATATAAAATGGTTGCTATATGCACAATTACATGATATAAATCAACTTTCCTCCTTTTTCAATATTTTTTTACTTTCACTTACTTATATATAAAATATACGGTAAGAGAAAGAAAGTATTGTGATCATGAAAATTTTCGAATCCGTTTTCGACGGAAATACACGTTTTGAGGTCCCCTGAGACCAAATAACCAACTCTCCCAAAATGGTCAGTGTGTGTGTGTATATGTGTATGTAGATTGATAGGCTAGCTCAAAAAGAAATAAAATAGGCTTTCATGCCTAACACGAGCTTAATATAAAATGGATTCCATATCTTTCAGATTCATGCATGCACCAAATCCACTTTTAAAAAGATGTTTGTCTGTTTGTATGTCCGCATTGCAACGAAATTTTGTCAGGGGTAAGCTCAGCAATAGCTTATTGTACTTTTGAAATTTTAACATTACATTAAAGTTTGCTTGACTTTAAACATAGGCTTTAAATGAAAACAAAATATTGAGTATAACCAAAGTTATGAATTCTTGAGTAATTTGTCAAGAGATTTCGGTTAATGTTGATAATAAATGTTAATAATAAACATATGTTAATAGGTCCTAGAACATCTTTATAAATAAAACAAAAGTTTTGTCTGTATATTGAATAGAATCAACCCGTTTCATAATATCTTTCCGTTTTATACATTACAGACACCAATTCACTTTTAAAAATTTTTTTGTCTGTCTGAATGTCAGCATAGTCCAACGAAATTTTGTCAGAGGTAAGCTCGGCAATGCCTAAAGGTAGACTTGAAATTTTGGCATTACATGTAGGTTGCTTGATTTAAGATATAGGCTTTAAATGAAACCAAGATATTGAGTAGAACCAAAGTGATGAATTCTTGAGTAATTTGTTTAGAGATCCCGGTTAGAAAGTTACTTCGATTCTAATCCCAACCTACTCTACTGCGAGCCACATTTATAAGTTATACTACCCATCTGATGGAAAAAATTATCACAACTCAGCAGAGTTTAAAGAAGTGGAGAGAGTACAAATCTTTTTGATTAATTAATCAACTCCACAATCTCCTCGCTATCATTCTAAATGAAAATTATACACTTAACAAATTTTAATGGATCGGTGGTGGTCGGTTTAGTTGTGTGGTATCTAAACAAATAGCCGAATAACAATGTTTTTTATTACTATAGCGAAACCTGGACTTCCATAAGCCTCGCCATAAAAAATTTCAAAACAACCCCCTTCCTCCCTCACAACCCAATTTTATGAAATTAAATTTGAGGATCCAAATTTCCCCCCATAATCAAATCCTTACCGACACTCCCCAATCTTTTCCTAAATGACTCACCTATCTCATTCCACACTTCCGTAAAAAACCTTGGTGTTACCTTTGATGAAACCCTCATCTGAAAACCACACATCTCCCAAATTTCCCGTCGTACCATCTCTACCCTGAAACAGTTTAACCGACACCGCTATCTCCTTCCATATAAATCCCGACAACTCCTGGTTTCCTCCCTTGTGTTCCCCCACTTCGACTATTGCTGTCTGATGTACGGCGGACTCTCGGGAGAATTCGAAGCCAAACTTAAACGCCTACTGACCTGCGCAATACGGTTTGTCTTCAGAATCTCAAGAGATACGCATATAACCCAGTATTACACCAAATTGAAGTGGCTCTATCCATCCAACCGCCTCTGTACTTCCTTGCTACCTTTCTATATCAAGCCATCAGAACTCAGCGACCTTCCTATATTTTTCACAGCCTACAATTTAAATATTCCATTCAATCCCGTCCCACTGGATCCTATACTTCTGACCTCAGCCCACATCCTCACCGAACTGCTGCGTTTGACAAATCCTTTATAATTAAAGCCGTCTCCATCTGGAACACCATCCCTCCCGATATCCGACATGCACAGTCAGTTTGCTCATTTAAATCTCTCCAATTTAACCACCTACTTCTTTCCCAACCTGACTGATCAAGAAAAGTAGATAAGAGAAATTTTTAAGTTCTCCCAGAAATGATTTTGTTTACTTATATTATTTTATTTTGATATGTTTGTATTATATTTATCTTTATATTTAGTGTTTTTGTTTTAATTTTAATGAGAATTGTAAATATTTAATTTAATCTTATGGCCACACAGGCATTTTCTATAATTTGTCCTAAAGGTACTACAGTCCCAGGATAATAAAAATCTATTTTCATTTCATTTCATAATACAAAATCCATCTCAAAGAAAGACTCAAATTTTAACTATACACCCATCAACGATGGGCACATCAGCTAGTTAAGAATAAAAAAAATAAATAGCAGGCCTGGACTAAGATAATCTGTTAGCAAGAAGACCAGCATAATTCAAAGATTGACTTTTAATTAGTTGCTATGTTTGTGAATATAAATATTTTTGTGATTTCTAATTTTAATTTAAATATATTGCCACATGCTTGGACACAATACATCAACATAGTATGCTTAGGAGAAGTGGGTAAACTGGCACCACTGGGCCGCATATTATTGGTAACATAACACTTGGCGAACAGATTTCATTCAATACAGTCTGCATTCTCTCAGTACTTTGGCACGAAATCCTAAATAAATTCGGATGCTGAATGGATGTATAGAGAAAAAGTTGTAAGATAACATAGAACAACTCTAGGAATTTATAAATGTAATTTTATTTTAAATTAAAATTCATTAATTGTTTAATATATTATAATTTGTAAGAAGCATAAATAAACTGAGCTATATTTCATTCTAATTGGAGATATTTCATATGACCATGAAAAAAAAATTATAAGACTTTCGAATAATAACTAACTTCTTCAATTAATTTTATCAATTATTAAATTCAAAATAGTTCAATAGAAGAATAATGACAATTTGGTAGAATATGTGTTTTTAATAATTCACTGTGAATTTCCTTATTTCTTTACAGTATAAAATATTAGACATATTTCCAAATTTCCTGACTGGTAGATGTCCTAATTTGTCTGCAAAAAATGAATTATTTTATGGTTATATATTCTCTGGAATTAAAATTAAATTGAATTAACTTGAATTTAAGTTTAAATATAAACCATAAAAATAATTTAGTAAAGCCTGTACAACTAAAGCATGAAGATGATTTAATAAAGTTAGAATAAAAATGAAGTAAATAAGTAACATTTAAAAAGTTAAAATATATTTACCACACGATCTTGTTGAATCAGCATTGATATTATGTATTCTTAAAAGGTGAGCCATTAGATTTTGTTTAGTAGAATACAGAACACCACAATATTCACAGCAAAAAGATTTGATACCTAGAAAAATAATAATAAAATACTAAACAAATCAAACTAATAAATATTGATTTTATTTCAGTTATCTAGATTGTTTGAAAAAAAAAAAAAAAAAAAGAAGAGGCATTTTTTCAAGATAAAATTAACAATTCAATAGTTTAAATACTTAATTATGTCCAAAGAAATCTAAAAAATGACAGTATAAGGTAACAAGCAGAAGTAAACTGGTACCTATTATTCTTTTTAATAATAAAGCACAATAAAAATAGAACTATAATTAAAAAAAGACAGTTGAATAAAATAATTAATCTAGAAATTCAATCTTACAAAACTAGCCAACCTGAATGTGTCTTGAGGTGAGATCTCAATGCTACTGAAGAAGATAACTTTTTTCCACAGACAGAACATGAATAAGTTCTTTGTATCTATGACAAAAATATCAAGGAATCGATCTTTCTATCCTTCCATTAGAAAATCAGATACATTAACATTAAATGATTATATACTTAATCTTCCAAAATATATAAACAAAATTAGACTATATTACAGTAATTAAATGTTAACAGGCCGTGACAAAATTAATGTAATATAATAATACTTTTTGGCATTAAAACTATCTTTTGAATTTCATCTTTATTAGAAAGATAATGTGGGTTTATTGCTAAAATTCACTAAGCAACATTTCATAAAATTAAAACACTAAGCACTTTGGATGACTTTAATCTCTGTGAAACGAGAACATCATGCACTTAGTTTAACTATTTTCTATATGTAAAAGGGTTTGTGACATTTATTCCTCATGATTTATATTATAAGTTTCCAAACAAGATCAATCCATTTCAAATTTTACAGAAATGACTTTCAATAAGTAAAAAATATTTACTGAATGCCTATTTTCAATCCATTTTGGGAAGACTTAATGCTACTTATCACCTATAGCAATAATTAATAAATTAAAAATAGATACAATTTTGAAAAATCAAAAATATTCTAAAAGAACATAATAAATTACTCACAATATTCTTTATATTTTGTTACTAAGATATAATATGGTAAAGGGTGGGAACAAAGAATCCCCAACACCATCAAATGAAAATTTAAAAAACTATCACCACTATTGTTTTGATTTAAGATTTTGACCACTGAGCAAATTTTTTTAAGAAACAATAGTATAATGATGAAAAGCAAAGAATGTAAACCAATTAATATTCTTTAATTCAAAAATATCAACTCATGTATAAAAATTAATATTTATTTACCTTAGTTTTTGATGTCATTTTTGTTTTATATAAAGAAATGGTGTACACCAATATTAATTACAAAATTTTAAAATGATTAGTTCCCTCAGATATGTTTGACATCAGAAACTCAGCTTAGAAAGATAACTGGAAACTTTCACTATACAAATAAAACAAAAAATAAACCACCTTAAATTGTTGCTTTGAGTTTTTAATAAGGCTAAAATGATGCTGAGAATATATTTAAACACACAAAAGAAAAGGAAAATATTGAAACGATGAAAAATTCGTATTTTATTAAATTTGACAATTCAAAAATTAACTTGCCACTTGTTGCACAGACCACCCACGTCAGATTCAAACATAAACACTGAATTGAGTTGAACGCGGGATGACAGGTATAAGCCATGTTGCCAGATCTTCACTCTCAATGTGGCTTCATATGATAGAATGTGCCTATTTACATTTTTTATTTGGTTTAAAGTGTTAGTTTTGACTAAACTTTCCTGTAATAAAAATACATATTTCACATCATCAATTAATAGCAATAAAAAATAAAATACATTTATTTTGCATTCTTACTATTAGCGGGGGGGGGGGCTTGCATTCTTATTTCGGGGGGGCTTCAGTCTGAAAGCTTTTTTTTTTTCATAAAAATAACGATAATTACTTTGGAAAAAAAGAAAGAAACTAACTACATATATGAAATGGTGTTTAAGTGATTCCTAAAGTCTTTTTAAATGTAATTACACAAACAATAATACATTAAGAGATAATTTTTTAATATTTTTTCCCATAAAACATGTTTATATTTTACAATTTGGGGGTGGCTTCAGCCCGAAAGCTTCCCTCCCCCGTAGATCCGCCCGTGCATGGGACTAATATAAACTGGAGGAAGGAGTTTTCCATTAAAAAGAAAAGGCTGGAGAAAGAGCTTAGAGATTAGTAACAGTTGTTTAATTATAAATAAATGGTCATAAAATAATAAATTCTAGTTAAATGAAAAAATATGTTTCTTTTAACTATTTGCTTGGATTCATAGGTATTCTTATGTTTAGAAAACATGATTTCAGAAGGGAGAGGGTTCATATTTATACCATCTTAATTTGCCTGCTGCTTTATATAACGATCGAATTGATGGACTTAGCACAAATGTTTTTACTGAAAATTACTAAGCCACCAAATTTTTAACCAAGCAAATATCCATAACTCTGCTACTAAAGATTAAAAAGATATCTAGACAATGAAGGAAGGAAATGTGTTGGGGCGCCTCTTTTCTTTACTCGAAATGTAAAGTTTGGCGTTATTTGACCAAAAGCAGTCTATGTATGACTGATTATTTATTTTTTAGGCGTAGCTGTAAATTTGATGAGAAAATATTGAATATTGTACATTTTATTTTTTGTTTGCAGTTGGTTTAGGGATACACTGACCTACTTCCTGCAGTTCCCTCCAGTTAGTGTGAAAGTCGTTAATTTTCTCCGTTCTCGGTTTTTCTCGTTTTTGATATTCTTACTAATATTAAATTCAGTGATGTGTTTGTGCAAGTTATTTCTTCAATCTCTACCAGATTTACTCCTGCGTCGATTTAAAGTGTTGGTTGCTCATTATTACATCTTAATTCATTGTTTTATTGAAGTTCATTTTCATTTTTAACTTTGATTTCATTTATAGGGACAAGATGGTGTAAAGACGCTGTTTCATCTGATCAATGAAAAAGTTACCATATCAGGTTCGTATTGTTTTATCAAATATTTTAACTAAAGATGTTATCAAATTAATTTGCTATCTTCCAATCTATATTTGATTTAGCGAAATCTATGAATCCTTATACTTGTGGGTTCTATATTGTTAAATGTGTATTTACTCTTATATTTCAGTGTTTTTAACTTTGTTTACTTATCCATGATGTTCAAATATAGATTATATATGAAGGGTTCTGTGATGGAACAACTGATAAGCTATTTTACCCATTGTTAAGTTAGTGGGGATAGACAGCATAAAAATGGTTTTCTGATGTGTCAATTTCTCATAATTTCCCAAATCTATCATTAAGATATCAATTATCGCTCAAATTGCAACCAATAGTAACTCTCTCTCTCTTGTTTAATGGTTAGCTCATAAACCCATTGAAATATTTTCTACTTTGAACCTGGTGTACTTTTGAAAATATAATAGTTTCTGACTTTATAATTGTGCATTATATTAAACTATATTTTCATTGCCTTAAATATTTTTATAGTAAGGTAAATCGGAAATGAGTACAATACTGTTAACTTTTACTGGCACCTTCGTATATGAGTCCGTACATTTTGACGGTATGCCAAGATCTCATGATCCCAGTATTCATATTTCGATAATAGCTGAAGATTGACAAAACATAGTATAACCTCTTTATTCGAATGCCATACTTAACTTTAACTTAGGCAAACTCTGTACTGTTCTTTTTCAGTTATAAATTAAGCGTTAATTAACTTGAATTACACACTGCATTCAACTCCCGCTGATAATAAATCTCAAACAGGCTCTTTTCAGTTGAAATTAGGGCCTTATCTGTGGTGATCAGATGTCTCTCTTTTGACGGAACAGTCCCAGACTTTTAACAATTTGCTCCTCGTCCAACGGGGTTTTAAGAAAGTTCCAATTTTTAGAAGAATGCTCTACAAGCTAGGGAACAGAAAGAGAATATACGATTTTTGGCTGCCATCTGGCTACTTCGTGAGGATTTGAGTTTTATATATTTTTTTTTTTTGTTAGTTTTATAATGTTTTAACAAATTATTAATGAACACTTCTTATCAAAGTTCGCATTGTTGATGAATTGTTAGAGTTCAGCCAACATTGTTTGAACTTGATAAGCAATCCGAAAATCATCTAGTTAATAAGGTATCATAATTAAATAAATATATTGATAAGGATAAATATAAATTTGGTGGGCATGAGCAAATTCAGTTGCTACTTCGATTGCTGAAATTTTGTCACCTTCAATCATTTTTATACCATTTTGAAAATGTTCTGCTTGATTGCATTTGAATATGATGTTGATTGCTAGCACAAAATATCTAAGTCATGAAAACTGTTATTGTTGAAGTCATAAATTAGATGGCAAATACATTATAAAATTATTTGCTCTCAAAAATATGTCTTTAGAACTACATTATTAACCTTATTTGATCTAAATACAATGTTACCTGAATATATTTACACCAGATTATTATTATCTAAATTAATTCTTGTAATAAATTTGGAGCAAATTTTTACTCTAGATCCCCTCACAGTCAATGGTGTCCCGCTTCACCAATGTTAAAATCTAGTGGTCAGCCTTATCAGACGGTTTGATCATTTCCGTCTACTTTCAGATACTGGCTGTCTTGTGATTCCATTAATGGTGTAATCATGAGATTTTGTCCCAGCGATGAAAGTGGTAATATTCATACTGTAGTAACCTTTTTCATATTGATTTTTGAAACAATCTTTTTCCTAAAATATATAACCGTACTCTCTCATTGGTTTTTTCTAGTTTAAAATTAATCTTTTAAAATTCCTACAGTGTTTTTTTTTTTTGTAAATAATAGACTTAGTATGAAACAAATTATGAGTATCACTTGAATTAGTAAAACTTAAATATTGTCCCACTAACATGCCATTTGGACCTAATCACATCAATCAAACTGTTGATGTAATTCCGAAAGTGATTGAGTATTTACAGCCATGTTTACCAATAAAAGTAAACTGAATTTTATTTTATTGTGAATTTTCATTTCTATTCACTCAACAATGTTACATGTCCTTTTCAACCTATCTAAAGTACTTAATTACATTTTTGATGGCCTTTTGTTTTTGAACTCAGCTGTTCATGTACACACAACTATTTTGCTAAACTTGTTTTTTTTGGACTCGGAGAACTTTGAAACTTTCGCTGCAGGCTTCATTTTATAAATATACCTCACTTAACAAGTGTATATTTCTTTTTAAAAAATTTTAATTTCTAGACAGCTGTTTTGAAAACTAAATATACCGCTTTAAAGCTAAAAGGATCCTGAAGAAGTTGAAAAGTTTATCTCCACTGCATACGAGCCTCTGGTATAGGAAATATATTATGTAATTTGCCAAGCTACACCTGCAAGTGGGTTAAAAATGCAACTTTCAGGCGAACCATCCGAATCGAAAGTGTTATAATATGTATCCGTTGAAAACTGATTAATAATTTTTCATGATCGCAACACATCCTTGTGAAGTATGAAAGTAAAAAAAAAAAAAAAAATTTATTTTCAATAAAATAAAGAAAGACTTTTGTACTAAAATCATTTAATGGAACATTCTTAAGGCAAATGTCGCCTTTCATTCCTCTGGTTCATTTGTTTTTTTTTCGCTTGGTGAAATTGTCACTATGTTGAATTTCGGTAAATTTATTCCAAATTGAGTTTCAATCCCAGTTATCATTGGTATTGCTTCCTCGTACCTATATTATAAACATTTAAAAAAAAAATTAATATCATTTAGTAATAAATTTATACTTTTTATTAAACATAAATTAAAAATATCTTATTATTAGTATTTTACAGTACCAGATGGGTGCTGCTGTGTTGTAAAGATTTTGAAAAATATGAAGTTAATATAAAATATTGTTTCTATTCTAATTGGTAATGGTGAAAAAGTTATGACATTCGTTTTTGGTTAAGGTTTTGACCCTTTTGTGGTAAAAGAAAGACTTGTTGGATTTAGTTTATCTCTATAGTGATTGGAAGTTTACTGCAGTAATTTCCAAATAGATAAATCAAGTTTATGAACTCAGTGTAGATGGCATTGATTTGCATCTGAAATCCATCAGACCGTTCCAAATCTCATCTATGTAACAGTGGTCAAGTTTCCAAATTCAGTGCTGAAATCATTAATGAGCATCAGAAATCCATCAATGGAAAAGCACCGACTTTAGGAACTCACTATTATATTATGTGTGGTAACCAAAATCACCATATCAACAATAACTAACAAATAAATATAAATAATCTTTATTTTGTTTGTTAATTTAATTTTAAT